CTGTTTTAATTCTTGCATCAGAAATTTAATTTTTTTGTTGAAAAAGTCGGCTTTTGATGAGAAATAATCCCGGAAATTGAGCAAAAATTCCGTTAATTTGCATTTGATAATCATTTATTTCTTATCACATCACACGAGTGCTCTCAAAGACCGAATTTGCGTCTATTTCACGGGTCACAGCCTCCCAACACCATCGTCATGCATGTCCACCATGCAAAATTCAAATTTCGCGCCCAAAAATCGAGCACAAGTTGTTTGAAATCGGTCAAAAATTTGTCGTTTTGACCTAAAACTTGCATCATCGGGTCAAGTTGAGTGATAAGATTCTCCGTTTTACAAATCGTAATACGAATTAATTTTAATTAAGTCTGGTGATAACTTCATTAATAAATGTCTTACTATAATGTAGTAAATTTATTTATTTATATTTGTCGGTCAAAGCGACGTTCATTGTTCATTTCCGTCGTGTGCATTCGATGCGAAAGTCGCTCACAAAAAGGAAATAACGAAACGTACAACAAATTGCTTGTTTTCTTTCGATGAAAAATCTATTTCGTTCGCATTACTCCATGCTAAAATGCCGAGAAAAATCACGTTTTAAAGCCAGAAATGATACAATGTGACAGAAATGACCTTGAAATTCTTATGCAATTGGAATAAGTACTACACTGATTAATCCTAATTAGACAAAAACAACAAGCCCCGAATTCGAATATTGAGAAATTTTGACCACAAATCACTTCAATTAATTATTTTTTTAAGAATAATACTTTTGTTTGGTAATTATTATCGACATTACAGGCCACTGTAATTACCCTAATAAATTTTTTGTGGAAGTTTTGGGTTGGCACCCCCGGTTTTTTACTTTTCTCGCGTTCCGAGTTTTCCATTCGAAAAAGTGCAATTTTTGGCTTTTTTCCACCCAAATTCGCACGTGTTTCACAATTCGGTGGTGCGGGAATCGTTTTTGGTAAAAATTAACCCGGAATTCGGCGATGAAACCGAATTAATTGACTTTGTGATAATTTTCGTGAGGTTAGTGAACTCGAAATGCCACTAGTGCGAATGACAGTTTTTGCGAAAAAGTGATTGACATGTCTTTGACTTTATTAATATTTGTGTTCTAATTTTTTCTCTAAATGTAACGGTCTTTGAACAACGGGGGCGCAAATTGACGATTGTAAGGTAAGTGTTTATTTTACAGTCATTCAACTTTTTGAAAATTTGATTTTTTATTCGGGAGCTTGGAAAGTGTGAAGCTTTTAAAACGAAAGCTGATTTATTATTGTGTTAACATCGTCGAAATTAACTAAAATCACGCATTGGAGAGGTCAAGTTTATTGCGTATCATTTTTTTATGTCAGTTTTTAGCGATCAAAGTGACCTGTGTTTTTGAAATTAAGTTGGCGACATTGAAGCCAAGTCACAGGCTACTACAACAGGTGTATTTTGTTCTATAATTTTACTCATTTTGTGTCTTTAACATTTATTTTTCACTAATTGATTATAAATTTGAAATCTGGAGTAAAACAAATTGCTCAAGATTTAATATTTATAGCTTTTGAAGGTCGCAAGTTCAGAAAAATTGTTGCAATGTCAGTGACACTACTGACAACCTGAAGAAAACAAATGTGACGCATTATCCAAACAACATCCGACAAAGTTTTGTTTACTTTTTTCTTACAAAAAATTAATTTTGGTGACGTTTGAGGTTACATCAATTTCTTTATCTTATTATTATAATAAATTGTTATTAAAATAATGATAAATAATGGCGAAATTGCGTCCACTACCTAGCCCAAGAAAAACAAATTCTTATTTCATTGAATTTAAACAAAGAGTTTCTTTTAATTGCTGAAATGTTTGTTTAAAACTAGTTTAGTTGCCACTAAAGAGACTTTGATCTTTGGATTTGGTCCAAGAATTAAAGTTACCAAAAGGCGTAAAAAACAAAATGGATAATATTGACACTCACTGAACTTGACATGATTTTCCAATCGGAGGGGAATTTAGCTAATTGAGGCCTCAAGCGCAAGTAATTTAGAGGTAATTGCATCGACTTGCGACCAGTTTCCTGTAATAATTCCCGATTTTTCAAAATTTAGAGGTTTCGGGGGAAAAACCGGAACCGCACACCTCTGAGCTCCATGTAAAATAACAAAAAATTCCAGTGTTTCAAGAAAAGAAAGTTTCAAATTGCAAATAACAAGAAATTTTATTGCGATAATTTTTTGTTCAAACAGTTTATAATTTGTGTTTGGATTTGGTACTGTTACGTCTCTTATAATTCGTTAATTATATTTGTTTATCTTGTTTATTTATAACGTTTTTAAGTTAGGAGTTATCTAATTTTTTTATTAATTAAGATGGCCATGAAGAAGAAAAGTCAAATAACTTTGACCAGACTAGATTAAAAACAGAAAAATGAGCATTTCTAGAAGATTTCGGAATACCAAGTGTTAAATTAAAAATTCATTATTAATTTGTTCATATGCAAATGAGTCATACAAACGTATTTCTCCAATTTAAATTAATTAAACACTGATAGAAATTTAATATTACAATTGATAATCACGTCAAACGACGTGATTTTGACACAAATTTCATGTATGCAACCCGTTATACATTTTTACATTTTACTTGACAAACTGTTTTGAAAATTTTGATAAATCTCTTGTTAAATTTTGTTAGTTCAATGATAAAAATGTGTAACTGGTTGCATTTAAAGGTTCCGTAGTTATGTGAATCACTCTGTATCATAAATAATAAAACTTTTATTAAAAATAATTATGTATTAATATTAATTAACAAACAGACATTAATTAGACATTTTTTCATTTTTGGAAAAAATACACAACTTGATTCATGTGGGATGAAAAATACAATATTTTGTCATCTTACGTGTGATAATAGTTTTTTTGTATGCTATTATTTTATTTTTATGTAATATTTTTTTGTTGCTTAAAAAAACTGTTTATTGTAAAAAATTGTATCATTTGGGTCGCTATCTAATTTAAATATTTGCTTGTATTAGCAATAGTGCAGTCTGGTGTAACAAGCGAATTAGTTTTGTCTGTCAACATAATAATAATAAATAATATTTACATAGAAATAAAGTAAACGTGTTTTTAATTTTGTGAAATTTAGTTATTTTGAAGTTTATAAGAAATATCTCTAGAAATGGTAATTTAGTACAAGATTTGTTCAATAACTGTTGAAAATTAAATTTTGAAAGAATTTCACACCAAATGTGTCATTTTTTATTATTGTGTCCAATTTGCATAATATTTCCTCGATTTTCCTTTAAAATTGTTCGTAACGAACTGAGGATAAATTTATTCCATCTCGAACCGAATTTTCTCACTTTCCGTGTTAATTACCACCGAAAACATGTAAAGGTCGGTTTTTCTTTAATTCCGTTAAAAAATTTCAATACCGTCAAAGAAAACTCGATTAAAACCCGAATTAATCCTTTTCACCGATTTTGATTAAAAAACTTCGTCTCGTTATACTAAAATTTCGTCTGAAAAAAATTAAAATGCTCCTTATAATCGAATCAGTGGAACAAAGTGCCCGAAATAATTGATTTTCGAAGAATGGAAGTAACATTTCAATCGTGTTAAAGCTCAGTGCTTCCTTTTGTGGCCTTTTGACGGCGCTTTTATATATCGTTTACTATGCATAATGTGTCGTAAAGGTGATGTGGATTAAGTAAAATGGGAAAACGGGAGTGTGTTGATATTTTCCTTATGTAAAATTCATGCGACGTATTAAATTGCCTGATGGATACATACGCCTTTGATCTTGCGGCCAATTCTCTTGTGGTAGCCCGGGAATAGGAAAAGGACGAGTACGGGCCTGAATTGATCAACAGCAAGAGACAAAAGTCAAAAATTCAATTCGTTTGAGTGGTTTTGGCATAAAATCCGCTTTATTCTAGCGATAAAATAACAAAAAACGACTTTTTTAACGATATTTTAAAAGGATGTATGACTGGTTGCCTGCCAGTTTTTTAAAAGTCAAATTTATTGAAAAATCATTAACAATGCATTTTGAGATAAAATTTGTGTTTTCGTTTGCAACAAAACAGTCCAGTGCAAGTCATATTCAATGAACAGGAAGTGCAAATGTAAGGATTTGGGTATTGAGGGATGTAACAACAATGGACTTGGTTGTGTGAAAAAGGGCACAAAATTCCAAATTGGACGCAACGTCGTATCCAAATCACTAAAAATTTTCATTATTTTTAGAGAAATTTTGCACTAAAATTTTACACAACAAAACTGCTACTAGGTAGAGGATTATAGCCCAGAAAAAAGTGTCCGAAAGAAGGTCATTATTCACACAGAAATTTGTCATTTTTGACACAAAGTGTCAAGTTTGATTATTTTATTGTTATTTAAAATTTTCAAACAATTTGTGGACTGTATTTTCGAACACATAAGTCAGAGTTTTTTGGAAAGTCTACAATAGTTTAACAAAAGTTAAAAAAAAATGTTTTTATTGTATTATTGGTTGCAGTATTCTAAGATGATGATAAATAAAATTCGAAAAATAATCAAATTTGTTTTTTGTTTTTGAAAAACTAAATTAATGCTTTTTTGCTAGTTTTGGGTATTTAGTAATTTTTGTGATCTTTTGTTGTATTATTGGTTGCATGTGTTAAGGTAATGAATGAGCATTTTAGAAGGATTAAAACTTGAAAAAAATAATAAATCTATAATTTCTATTCTTATAAAAGTATATAATAGTTTTAAATGGTGTTTTTTTGTTAATTTGAAATTATTTAAAAAAATGTGTGTTGTTTTGGTGGTATTGTTGGTTGCATATGTTAAGGTGGGAAAAAGAAATAAAAATCGAAGAAATTCTAATCTATTATAAAATTGCTTTAGAAAAATATATGTTATGATTTAAAAATAATATTTTTTGTTGGTAGCGTCTTCTGATGTATTGCTGGTTGCATACGCCAGGGTGGGAACACTAAAAAAATCGAAAAAAACTTAAATCTAGGACTTTATTGCCTTCGAAAAGCATACAATGGTTTCAAATAATGTTCCTACTTGTGAACCGAGATTCTAAAATCTGAATTTTTTAATATAAAAATTAGTTGTTTTTTTTTTAAATTAAAAATAATATATCATCAAATGTTAATATGTACTTGTTTTTACAAAAATTAATATAATTAGAGCTATAAGTTGCCAGTATCATGTTAAAAGTTGCACTAAATCCATTATTAGTGTTTAAATATAATCTAAGATTACATAAATCTTGCGGTATGGTTCCAAAAAAAACCCTACAATCTGAAATAACCGTCCAAATTGAAAAAATTGAGCATTTTTCTCGTAACAATGATAAAAATTTGAAAAATCATCACAAATTAGCACCAAAAAACAAAACGGTCGAAACAGGGTCGGACTCTACTCTAACCGTCGTAAAAAATACCCTAAAAAATCCCCTAAACTCTACAAAACGGGGGCGGGAATCCTAGATAAGTGATTATCAGGCCGTGAGTCCTTCCTTGGACTCCTATAAGACATCCTTTCTCCGCCTCCTCTTACAAACCGCCCCTCGTCCTTGAAATCAAAAGTGTACTGTTTTAACAATTCTTGGACTTGTTGGGCCATTAATGCTTCATCGTCGATTTGTGTTACTGTATTTATCAAAACTTCTTTAAGTCCGCCTTTTGTCGGGGAGGTGCTTGCTGAGGAGTGGCGACGTTCACTCCGCCTTGAAGGGGCGTGTCTTTGAAGCGGCGGACTGAAAGTTTCGATTTGGAGAGTGGGACGTGCTTGTTTCTGACGGCCATTCCACGTACCGTGGAATTTTTTCGGGGAGGATTTAGGGGCGGAGCGATCTACGCTAGGTTCTCGGGACTGGGGGCGGGGCTTGGGCGTTGTTTCCTCATAGATTCTGTGGGAGTAGGAAGTTTTACGTAAACCCACATCATTTGTGTCGTCAATACTATCAATGTGATGCTCTCCTAAATAAAACAATTATAATAATTAATTTTTTTCAAGTTGGTAATAAATACCGTTATATTCTGCATCATCAACTGAGTCTTGACTAAGGCGTTTCTTTGTTTTGTCTTGAATTGCGCCTAAACTCCTGTAGCCTTCATCGGAAACTTCCGAAGTTGTGTCACTTTGATCTTCATTTATTTGAATTGAAGTTTCCGATTTTAGTGGGACTTGTATCGAGGCGACATGATTCTTGTGTTTTGGTGATGTTGTAGGCGTGGCTTTAGTTTTAAGTGTAGTGTGATGTGATGATGTGTAGTTGGGGGTGGGGCTTCTCGATCTAATGGGAGGTACTAAAGATTTGCGCGGTAGATTCGGACTAACTGATCGTCTGTCGTTCAAATAAGACGGTGAACGTGATCTAGACCGATTCAATGAATTCATTGGTGGGCCTAGAGTCGAGGTGGAGCTAGAGGCGTGGCTTGGTGTCGCAATTGTAGGCACAGGAACTCGTTCGTAATACACGTGTGACCCGTGTAAGTCCTGGGCTCCTGGTTTATTGACCAGACGTGCCCCTTGGGTTGTCCGGTGTTGCGATCGGCAACGACATGGGTCGTGCTTGTCCAAATAATGGGACAAAGTGTCCCAGCCCCCGCCCACACGGACCATAACGTGATTTCGGAGTATCTACAAGTTTTCATTGTTCTATTGTTTGAAATAAAATGCAAAGTTCTTAAATTACCCTCACGAAAATTAACACTTTGGTGTCGCCGATTCGGTATTTGCCTTCGGAGACACGGATCATGGGGAATTGGGTTGGACACGTGCATTGAGCGACCAAGTCGCGGACCTGGAACAAAGAACAATTTGAATATTGAGATTGCGACAAGGGTCGTGAATATAATTTCTAAGCGATTGCAAAACAGAGATTCTCAGTGGTGATTTCGCGAAAAAAATGCGAATTTGCTTGTTAAATTTTTGTCTTTTTCCTAATTGTGGCTTACGTAACGTTGCTATAAAAATAAATAAGAGTTTGTGAAGGAATTTTCATGATTTTGATCTCGGCATTTGAGTATTTTTTTTAATTAAATTATTTGATAAATTACCATAATATTCATGTTTTCACGGAATTATTATTATTTTTTTGTAAGTAAACATTTGACATTTTTATAAGAATAGGTCGGATGTTAACTAATCTTTATCTTTATGAGTTTCCATTAATCACCAATTCTCAGAATGGCAATTTCGTCAAAGAATGAACAAATTAAAAACAAACATTTGACAAGTTGGCAAATTAAATTATTATTAAATATCTCTTCAAAATGCTAATTGTTTTAATTTCTGAATATACCGGGTCGGGCATCGGTTACGCGAAGAAAAAAAATCCCCACTTCTAATTAAATAAAATTGTTGAAATTTTTCACATTTATCTGGGTATTTCATAATTTTTTGGTAATTTTTCATTTACAAACAAAGCCAAAAAAAACTATTTTTTCACAAAAAGTTAAATTCTAATTTTAACAATGGCAATTTCGTCAAAGAATGAACAAATTAAAAACAAAAAAATTATTATTAAATATCTCTTCAAAATGCTAATTGTTTTAATTTCCGAATGTACCGGGTGGGGCATCGGTTACGCGAAGAAAAGAAATCCTCACTTCTAATTAAATAAAATTGTTGAAATTTTTTACATTTACCTGGGCATTGATAAAGTACATTTCATAATTTTTAGGAATTGTTTTATTTACAAAGAAAGCCAAAAAAAGTAATTTTTTCACAAAAGGTTAAATTCTAATTTTTACAATGACCTACGCAGATTCACTTCCTGTAATTGCTTACGAAATCAGAAAAAAAAAATTAGATTTAGAATTAAACGCAATTTTCCATCTTAAATCTGAAAATTAACAATTAGTTAGGTATTTGAAATATCGCCAATTTTAATTAATTAGAAGTTGCGATTTATCAAGTGCGCGTTACCGATGCCCCACCTGGTATACCTATAAAAATAAGAGCAACAAAATAATATTTTTTTTTAATTTCCAACTTTTTTCATCTTTATTATCATTTGCTGACAGTGTAGCCATTTTTTTTTTTAATTATTCGTATTATACTGATGACTTAAACCAGGTGTATCAAATTTTGTCTGTACCCCCAAAATACCTCTTTTTAATTAAACTAAAATTATTAAATGTATAATATATTAAATTTGATTGATCTCTAACCTTACTGTAGGAAAAAATGTTTTGTTCTATCAATTTTTATTCTACAGGCTGCGCCAGAACTCGCGGCCTAGAGAAAATTTTCAATGTCGATAACACAGAACAGCAATTTACTAGTTTTACAAAAGTAATTAAAACAGACAGGGTGTCCTAATTAAAATTTTATCATAAAAAATAGGAAAACTGATGATTTCATGTAACTTTAGTCACGATTTAAAAAAAAACTGTTTTTTTTTATTTTTTAAAATGTGAATAATAAAAGTTTGTAATTTATCAATTATTTCGTTTGTTTTCTTTTTTGTCGATATTTAAATTTTGAATTCTAACTTGCCAAAACTTCAAGCAACTCTTTTAATAGTTCAATTTTAGTTTTGTGTTCGTTGTTTTAATTAAAATTTGTCGAAAAAGCATAAATCTTTTTTTTTCTGTTGTGGTTTTAGTGTCAGTAATTGAAAATTTAGTAAGGATAGTATACATACAGGGTGCGCCAGAACTCACGCCCCAGAGAAAAATTTCAAGTAAGATAAGATACCAGGAACATGGAAAAAATGTTTAAAAAATTTTATCTGGCAAAAAATTTTTACATTTATTTTTTGACTTTTGACATTTTTTTATGTGTATTTAATGATCTGATGATTTTGTATATGTTTTTTTTTACAATTATTTAGTAAAGGTACAAAAATTTTGCCAATAAAAGCCACAAATAACATTGAACAGAGTTACAATTTAGGATACAGCTTCCTAGTTTCCTCTATAGCAAAAAAACTTGGAAAATAATTTTTCCAACAGAAATAAATAGTGTCAAAATGCAAAATCTAAACCCTCATAACTTCGAAATTTTTATAGATAATTTTTTTTTAACATTTTCTCCATGTTTCTGGGATCAATAAAGCGGCTTTATTGAATTGTACGTACAAGTAAATACAACCTTAACAAAAAAAAAATAAAATTTGCATAAAAGTTTAACTAAAATAAAGATTTTTTTTTTATTTATTACTTTAGGACATAGGTCCATAGAAACTTTTTTTTTTTATTTTGACCTAAGGAACCACCCCCCGATATACTTGTTAAAATATAACTTGACCAATGCCCCTCCCTTACTTGGTCAAAATGGGCGGAGCATTCATCTTCTTATCCTTTATAGACTATAGTTAATTTAAAAATAAAATAAACATAGAAGAAGAGAAAAACAAGAAGAGAAGCCTTCAGAAATACATTGAACTCGAGTGGTTCTTGAACCCATCTGATTACCATCCCGCTAATGAGTCTCCCAAAACACTAATCACCCGGCGCCAGGCCCATTCCCGCCCCAAAAAACCCAACCATTGCATCAACACAGTGGCCCGTTCTCACGCATATTTCATTCCTTTTTAAACCCATTCATCAACATAGAAAGTCACAATCGACTAAGCCACTATTCAATTGTCTTCTTAACTAAAACAATACCTTAACTGTTCCTCGTTATGACTTATTAGACGGTAGGTTCTGGAATCGACACACAAAAGTGAAACTTCCAATCAATTAATTGACTGAGAAGGTTTTTTTTTACTTCAACCAAAGTGATTTTTTCCGCTATCGATTAGTCATGTGGTAAATTTTGGATTGTATTTAAATGCGGTGCTAATGGAACTTTCCCGAGGAGGAAATGGGAAAAAATACATAAATTAATTGAGAGGAAAGTGAAAATTGCTCAATTATTCATTATTTTGTCACCGAACAGTTTCGCACACGTTCATCAGGACCACTCACTGATTTTTGTTAATTCTTTGGACGAGAAAGTAAATAGTAATGATTTTTTTTTCTCAAGTGAGGTAAAGTGTTTGTTTTGAAAGTTGTGGCTAAAGCAATTTTCTATAAAATCAATAATCGATAGTAAAAATGTACAAATTAACTCCTACGTAACCATGAATTCATTATTTCTCAACGTCTCACATATGGATATTTAATAATAAAATAAAGAAAATGTATTTTCTCTAATATCTACCGGGCGATGAAGAATAGTTGTTGTTCAACTCAACAATCCGGTGTTTCCCATTTTAAATATCTTTGCATGATCTTGTAATATTTCAAGTTGTGTGACTTTTATCGATTGATTTTTATCTTTTTTTTTGTTTTGAGTTTTTAATTGTAAGTACTCACTAACAATGAGTAGATTATTTGTTATATTTTAAGTTTGATCTTGATATAATCCTTATTAGATTAATCTTTTCTTCTGAAATATTGTTGTTTTTTCAGTTTTCTGCAATTCATGCCCATATCAAAAATTTATTCAATAAGAGTACTTGGACTTGTACATATACTTATGATAAAATTTATGTAAATTTAGAAATGATATTGACACAATTAAAAAAATTTGAGATAAGAGATAAGATGACATTATTATTCAGTGGACTATACAGAGTGTCTATAAAGTATGGATACAGCTAAATATTTTCAAAACGGTTTATCAAATTGTATTGAAATTTGGTATACATAAGGTTAATACTTGTACAGAGTGGTTATAAATGATTTTCATCTAGTCAGCTTTGGAATTCTTTTGCATATAACTTTATTTGTGCCGCTCTACTTTTTTGAAAGCTCTAGTTCTGTCATTAGTGTCACTTATTAATTAATAATAAATTGTTGTTAATTAAACTTTTATTGTTTCAACTAATTTCCAATAATAATTGATAATAATGTATACTTTGGAAAAAAACAAGTTTATAATTGTCTATTTTTGAAGTGGACGTAAACGGCGATTTTTTAATTTTGAGTTAAAACAAGTAGGTACACCTATTCTCGTAAAGCGGCATTTTTTATTTTACATGGAAAATTCACAGCTGGCTAGATGAAAATCATTTATAACCACTTTGTAGTTATATATCAAAGGAGTAATTAACTATTTTCATCCCAAGAATATAGGAAGGTAATTCATTCAATTCCAGTTTATTTTTTGAGAGTAAAAAATCGGTATTTTATTTATTTTATTATTTGTCAAAAACGAGGGAATAACGCGTCACTTTATTCTCAGTTGGGAAGAAAAGTATTTAAATATTTTAATAAAGAAAAGAATAATGGATTCAGTTTAACATAAGAGTGATTATTAAGTGATATTTCTTCCATCTCTTGTGCAACTGTGCACTTTTTGGCTTCTGAAACAATAGTAATTATTTTTTTTTTAATATTTGACGTTAAATATCTTTTAAGTTATTGATTATAAACACCTAAAAGTAAATAATTTTAGAAAAACAATTTAATAATCTTTTAAATGCAAAAACAATAAATAGGGTGTTCCATTTAAATTTTTTAAGTTTTTGAACTTTTAACAAACGCCTTCAGTTTTTTATCTTTGCAAATGCAACACACTAAATAAATGTTACAACCTTATAGCTTGTACCTTCTTCTTTGCGGTAGTAAAAAAAAAATTCTAGATGTCTTAGTTTTTGTGTAATGAATTTTTAAAAAGTGCGTGTTTTCGTCAAAAAAATCGTCTTCTTTTTAAAACTAAGCAAAATCGACCAATAAAAGTTTTGCTTAAAAACATTGTCATAAAAATCTACATCCAAAAACGCAAAGAAACAATACGGTGTTTCATTTAAAAAAACACAAGTTTGTATCGTAACTTATTTTTGAGACACGCTGTATAGTTGAAAATAATTTTAGGCGTTGGACTAGATTAGTTTCTATCAATGTCCCATATAATTTTTTTAATTGTACCATTTAAAGCTCACTAATGGATTTTTTCAATTCGCTGGGACACCCTGTATATAATGCAAGGCTAACTTGATTTTTTTTTAATAGAACGAGGGGTCAAAGTTGATATTTTGGAAAAGAGCATTTTTTCCTAAATTTGAATTAAAAGGTAAAAAGAATCCAAACTTTTGTATTTCTTATTTTTCCAAAATGTTTTCTGTCAATAAGAAATACCAACAAAATTCTAAAAATAATCAATTCGAATTTTCGTCATAATTTTAATAATCCTTTTTCAAAATTATAATTAATTCATCTCGTTTCAACTTTGTCGTCAATTTATTAATCCCGCGAGAATTTTAATCACGTTCGACCGGAAATTAGTAATCATATTAAATACAGCGCTTATTGAATATGAAATTATCAGCGATTACTTAAATTAAATTAAATATTATTTACACGAGTGAAATAATTCCAACTCATTATTCAAGGGAATAATTAGTTAACTAGAACCGGTGCAAAGCACTTTAATGTCATTATTTAGTCGACGGTCTAAATTAGTTTCAATGACTTCTTTTTATGCAGTTCAATTGAGGAGAGACAGACGCATTCCTGGGTGTCGAGTGGTGGTCCTCTTTTGGACCTCTGACGTAAAGTAATTAATTAATTATAATTGAAACAATGAATCAAAAGTTGAATTATGAGCAATTTAGGTTTGCTACATAATTGTCCAATTTTCTTAGATTAGACATAAATCACAGTTAAAAAAATAAATTGAATCAATATCTTGGAAATAGGTTTTCGTAGATGATTATGGTGACTCATACGGAAACATCATCTGGGTAATAATAGTGTGTCACTGTCGTTTTCCTTTCTGTTATCACAACCCACATCGATAACGGTAGAATTTTCATTTCCCGCTATGAATAATTGCAAATTCTTGTAGGAAAAGTCGCCAATTAAAAAAAAAATGGATGTAATCAGATCAAGCCCAGCTGTGCTACCTACGCCTGCTTGATTTTTCGCGTTCCCGTACCCAGCCGTCTAGATTGCAGGAATCCAGCACGTTTCGAAACAATAATATTGCAATGCATACCGGGATATGCATTTAATAATAAATTAAATGCACTTTCACTTGAATCGTGCACATCATTATTAGAGAGACCCTATATTATTTTTTTGAATTATCCGAATGAAAGTGACCTTGGGATGGTACAAAATGCGGAAAAATCGCACTAGACCGTGGGTGAAATATTATTATCATTGAAAGTAACAAGTGTAGGCAATGCTTGTGACCAGATTTTAACGTCGAACGTGAAGAATTTCTGCGTGGGTCTTCTTGGCCACGCCAACAATGACAGAACCTGTCGAAAGCGGATTAAATCGAAGCGATTTTGTCTCGAACTCGGACGATTTATCAAAGTTTGACAGGAGATTTCAATATTTGAGATAAGCTCTTACGTATAGGAGCGGTGTACATGACTTAGTGAACGTAGAAAATAATTTATTAATAAATTTTTATCTCCCGCTAATCCACATTGAGAGACTCTTGAAGATATCGGACTATTAATCTTTGTCTACAGTTTTACAACAATTCATAAACGCCGTAAGTGGCACGCATTAAGGGGGTTTTGCCCCTAAAAGATATAAACATAAAAAGGGTACAAATGGTCTCTATTTATCCTTGAGAAGCTCTGATAAAATTTAAGAATCAACCTGTATTCATTACTGGCTTTTCCCGACAATATTTTCAGTTTTGTGATTTTTTTGCATTTAAACAGGCTGATTCAAATGAGTTCTCTTTCTGAGCGACATTTCTGAAGCACTCTGTATGTTTAAAATGTATTAAAAAATTGTACATGCTTTCGGGCTGGTATTACACCCAACATATAAAAATAAAAAAAATTGTGAATAATAGTTTAGTAATTTTTTATATTGTCTAAAGTGAATAACACAAAATGTGTTAAAAGTAATATCAAAAAACAGTATTCAATTTTCACTATTCGAAAAAATTAAAGGAACAAAAAATTTTCGCAAAGTACCTAAACTCATCGAAAAATGGTCGTATCTATATTAAAAAAAAAACTATTTCGAAGCTTTACGTTTCTAGTTTTGAGATTTTTTTGGGAATTTTTTTTTCTGTGCTTCGGTTATCACGTAATCCTAAGTAATAGCACCAGAAAAAAAATTCTATTTTTTTTTGTCTTTGCTTTTGGTCTACGGACGTGTTTTTTTACTTAAGTCAATGCATAGGCCGGATAGCCTGTTCATTCCCCTTTAATATGCTTTTTTCATATTATTTTTGCGTTAATTTATCGCTGAGATATCTGACTTTAAATGAAAAAGGATTCTTTTGTCTTTGACCATTGATATTAAAAAAAAAATCTCCCTCAACATTGATTTAAAGAAAAGAGAAAAAAGTACCTTTTTGCGTTGTTTTAGTAAATCAACTGCGTATTCCCTAATAATGGGGAGGTGTTTTTAGTTAAGCTCTACCCCCTACCCTTATAAATTTTTAAATCGATGCATCAAACCGTTTTCTCGGACCGATTGATCAAAGTTTTAAACGAACATTTGTACATATTGTTTTTGAATATTGTGTAAGCTTCGTCAAAATAAAAAAAACAATTTTTCAGCTTTTTACAATTTTAAATGAGTT